TCTTGTTTTTGAATAAGCTTGGTTGTATAAAGTTAAATTCGATTAAATTCTTCTGTTTCGTTGCCATTCAATAGTCTAGAAAACTTATCTTGGATACACTTAATGAGTTCTCTTTTTTCGGTTAATTTACAGCGTTCAGGTGGAAATTCAAGTAACTTACCGCGAAACCGAAAATGTTGTTGCGTGTGAAGAACCACGAGCCGCTAGGCGAGTGGATCTACAACAAACTTTGACAATATTATGACGCAAATTTGTGGTATGATTCTCGCCTTATCAAGATTGCAGCGCTGAATCAGTGCTGATATGTTTGACAAAACTTTCGCTGATTTCGTCAGCTTTCAAATTTCATCCGTCTGTACTCTTATTGACAATAAAAATTAGCCAATTAGCGGGCGAGAAATCGCTCAGTAATTGTAAAAAAAGTATTCGCGTACAAACTCTTCGTGTTTCCAAATATGGTATTTGGCAAAACTGAATATTCCAACACTGTGAGCGCGCGTTACACGTTTCAATCCCTTATGTGCTTTTGTCTCTTGCAAATGACGTTAACTTATTGCGTTCGACGACAGGAGAAGGCAACCTTAATCTTGTGTAGCTAAGAAAAATCGAGATTTTGTGTGTTCTGCATTTGCCTCGCTTTCGTTTGGACGCAAATTTGCCTCGCTTTTGTTATTGGCGTGATACCTTACATGGATTTCCATCATGCCACCATTGTCGACAGGGTGAGGGATTACCACAAGAGACTCCTCCTTGAGGCTTGGCTCTATAGGGGAGACTCAACGTGGTCAATTTCATAATATGGGCGTTGGTCTGACAAACTTCTAATTTATACTTCATTTGTAAAGTTTTTCTAAACCAGTTGCTGAAGAAGTGTACCCTACTGCACATAACCAGGATAGAAGGGTAAGGAGTAATGCTTAAGTTTTAGAATATAAGCAGGAAGAAAAAATGTATTTAGTATAGCAACATATGATAAAGTCATTCATTGGTGTAAGGCTTCCGAGTTCTACGCTCGCCCTCCTTAACTTTTTGGCCTTCATTTCAGCGAAAGAACCAAAAAGGCATTGGCGACAGTTCTCGCATGAACGCAGAGCAAAGCAAAACACACGGAGAAAAGGAAAGAAATGCAGGACTACTAGACAAAGTAAAGGTACGACTCAACATCCTGAATATCTGGGTTACTGTTTAGTAGAGCAATAAATAAACGTTGATGCGAAAGATCTCCACAGTACCAAATACCAATGGAGATCTTAGTGACATTTCTTCTTAGTGACATTTCTTCCCTTCTTTCCAGCAAACCGAACAGCGTCCCCGTACGGATGAAGAGAGCGTAAAAAAGCACCGTCAGAAAACTGCACGCGGAGAAAAGGTACGTTTAAACACTAAGATCGTCTTGAGTATTCATCAACTTTGACATCAGATGGTTCGCGGAATTAACTATGCACATAGTGCAATGGTCGTTGTATAGCGCCTGTAGGCTTGTTTAATCGAGTATGGCCGTAAAATTATTAAAAAACACCGTCCGCCCCACGCCCCACATTACTTTTCATCAAAGCATTTCTTCCCTTCTTTCCAGCAAACCGAACAGCGTCCCCGTACGGATGAAGAGAGCGTAAAAAAGCACCATCAGAAAACTGCACGCGGCGAAAAGGTACGTTTAAACACTAAGATCGTCTTGAGTATTCATCAACTTTGACATCAGATGGGTCGCGGAATTGACTATGCACATAGTGCAATGTTCGTTGTATAGCGCCTGCATGCTTGTTTAATCGAGTATGGCCGTAAAATTATTAAAACACACCATCCGCCCCACGCCCCACGCC